AATGCCCAGCACAACCAAGGAGGGAAGCTGAAAGACAGAATTCTGAATGTTTAAATAAAATAAAATGATGCTTGAGGAAATGGATATTGCAACGACTTGAAAGATCACACTGTACCTCATCTAGGTGCCAATTTCAAATATGTATTTTTTTATACTTAAAATTTTTATTTAGCTGGGTTTGGTGGCACCACTTTAATCTCAGCACTTGGAAGGTAGAAGCAGGAGGCTATGAGCTCCAGCCCAGTTAGAGCTACACAGTGAGTGAGATCCTGGCTCTAAAAGGGTATTTAGCGTGTGTGTGCACTCACGTATGCTTGGGCAACAGCAGGAACAAACGCTATAGCTCATGTGCAGGTCAGAGAACATTTACAGGAATGGGTTCTTTCCTACTACCATATAGATTCTGGAGAATGAAACGCAAGTAGTCAGCCTTGGTGACAGACATCCTTAACAACTGAACCATCTGCTAGCCCCCTTAAAAGAAGATTTTGTTTGTTCTGTTGGTTGGTTGGTTGGTTGATTGGTTGGTTTGGTTTTCTGGGGTTTTTGTTTGTTTGTTTTATTTTTGTTTTGAGACAGGATTTCTCTGTGTAGCCCTCATTGTCCTGGAATTAGTTCTGTAGACAAAGAGACCAAGGAAGGATTTTCTTTTCTTTTGAACACCATAGTGTTTGAAATATAGTTCTATTTAAAGAAAACCCAATGAGCTGAACAGTGGTGGCTCACTCCTTTAGTCCCAGCACTCGGGAGGCAGAGGCAAGTGAATCTCTGTGAGGTCGAGGCCAGCCTAGTCTACATAGCTAGTTCCAGACCAGCCAGGGCTACAGAGAAACCATCTTGAAAAACCAAAGGAAAAAAGAGAGAAAGTAAAGAAGGAAGGAAGGAAGGGAGGGAGGGAGGAAGAAAAAAGGAAGGAAGGCGGCTGGCAGGTGTTTCTATCTACAGTGCTTGGAATGCCAGGAATTTCCTTTGAATGGTCTGTTCTTGGGTGGGAGTCGGGTGATCTCAGCTAGGTAGCTATCTTGTCCCACATGCCAGGGAGTTTTCCTTTGTCTCAGTCTTTCAACCTGCTTTGGGCAAGGGGGGGGCGGAATGGGATGATGTGTTTCTTTCTGCAACTGCTTCAAGCTGACATGGGGCATTGTTATCCAGGCCCAAATAGGTTGAAAGGCTAGCCAAAGGTGGGGGGTGCATTTAGGCAATAGGGCACTCATCAGACTTTGTTGAAGGAACAGGGGGTGTTCGTATCAGCTGGACTGGTCCACCTCAGCTTTCATGAAGTCCAGGGCTTGCCACCATTCAGAGCAGGTTGAAGTCAGCAACTGATGCTTAGATGCGTTTGCCAGCCAGGTGTATTGAGATAAGTTTAAACTAGGAACAGAAGTAAAATCTATTTACTTAAGAAGAAGAGAAAAAAAAACCCATATTGTAGGAAAAAGACAACGGGCACCTGTAACAGAAGGTATAGACTCGTATCTTTGGGTCCTAGCTAAAAAGTTGGCTATAGCTTTGTGAAAGAATCTATTAAACTGACATATCTTGTCTGTCTAGGGGTTCAAGGGGGTGATACTGGGACCGCAATACCAGGATGATCTGCAAGCCTTGCCGGTGGGCCAGAGGGAGTGGGCGGGGCTTGTCTCCGCTGACAACACAAAGCAGATCAAAGTAAAAAGTAAAAAAAAAAAAAAAGGTTTTATTTCGAGCAAAGCAATTCCCTGGAGAGTTCTCCAGCCCCCAGAGATCTAGGTGGAGAAGTCACGTGATAGAACTAAAGCAGGGAGCTTAAATACCCTGCAGTTGAGGGGGTGATGAGTGTCCTCCGCAAGCTGGGTTTGTGTTCAAGTATGGTAGGCTTTTAGGCAGGGTCTTGGCTGCTGGCTACTTCAGGGGAGGAGCCACTGCACTCGCCAGGAACACGGAACTGAGCTTTTGTAGCCTTTTCTTTGTTAGAGATTTTCTGAGCTGGCAGGATTTGGGAGGGAGGGGGGCACTTTCTGGATCAAGCGAGAGTGAACTGGAGATTTGCAGCTGAACAAGTAAGCCAGCCCGAGGCAAAAGCTAGACGAATTAGTGAACTTATTTTTACAGGGAATGGTGGGGAGTGGGGCCCAAGGGTTTCAAAGTTAGGCAGAGCTGTGAAAATCAATAAAGTTCAGTTTGGGGACACAAGAAGCTGACTAAGAAATGGTGGCATGCCATCTGTAAATTAGCTATGAGAACAAGCATGTACAAAGCAGACCTAGGTAGAGAAATAGTGACATTCTGTTTTTTCTTTTTAAAAGATGGGTTATTTAAAGACGGAATATTGAATAAATGATGCTGAAATAATTTGCTAATCATTTGGAAAATCATAAATTAGATTCTTCTGATGCCTGTAAGGAGCCAAAATCAGTTCTGCAAAGATTTGTGAGAAATACAAAGATAAATTGGGGGAGGGGGGCTGAGAAAAATCAATGATGGGGTCTCAAATTGGGGAACCTTAAAAGCAAGAAGACTCACAAGACAACTTAGGGGGCTAAGGAGCTGTCACCAAGCCTGGCAACACTAGTTCAATTCCTGCGACCCACATGTGGAAAGGGACGAGCAGGGAAGGAAAGACAAGAGGAAGAAAAGGAACTTTGGCCAAAAATAAAATGTTCCAGCTCATCATGCAAGTTCAAAGGCAAATAGCAAACCAGGAAAGCAAAGTGATTTATCAAGCGAAATCTCAGCATCGTCCTAGGGCATTCATACTGACTGGAGAACCTGGAGGGCCTACGGGAGAATGCGGTCTCACACTCTGAAGGTCTCGCACTCTGACCGCGGCGGGAGGATGGGACACAGCATCATTGCACTCTGAAGAGTGTGCCCGAAGATAGGCTCCCCACAGTCGGAGTCATGGCCTTTGATCCAGTGGCCTGACCAGAGGAAAGAGTAAGAGACCAGCCAAAAGCTGCTCACACAGAACGGAGTACTGCAAACTTCTGAAATGTAAAAATATCCCAAACTGAAAAAGGGATCGATACATCTGAACCCATCCAGACTCATACCTTAAAGGACTGTTTCACAGAAAGGAGATGTTTGTGGGATCTAACCGTGAGGGCGCGCGGTATGACTCTAGCTGGAGAGAAGGTGGTTGTGGCTTTATAAAGGGGAGAACACATTTGCAAAGAGTGCCTAAAGTTGGATAGAGAAATATGTGTTTACTTATTAATTTTATTTTGTGTGTGTGTGCTTGAGTGTTTGTATGTGTACTGTATTCCTCTGTGAACCCAACGACATCAAAAGAGGGCGTCAGGTTCCCTGGAACTGGAATTAGAGGGGGTTGTTGGTTGCCATGTGGGTGCTAGGAGTCTAACTCAGGTCTTCTGCAGGAACATTAAGTGCTCTTAACCACCGACCATCACTCCAGCCGCCTTATTTATTTATTTTGAGATAAGGTCACCATATGTAGTCCAGGTCAGCATCTTCCGTCATGCCCAGCTTATGGAAGTTTGCAAATTTACTTTGCTATGCTCCCAAACTTTTTAAATATATGTTCTCTCCACCCCCTCTTCTCTCTCTCTCTGTCTCTCTGTGTCTCTCTCTATCTCTTGTACACACACATGAAAATAAAAATTTTGTATGTATATACTTTCTATATGGATATACATATGTACTAATATATATATAGATTTGCAAAATATAAAGCCCAATAATAGTGTTCTAGGTATCTCCCATCTCTCACACACACGCATACACACATATATGTATGTTAAAAACATCTTCTTGGAACCCAAAAAGGACTATAAAAACGGGGTCTACACAGGTGGGGTACCAGCTAAGCTCTCTTAATGAGAAATTGGGAAGAAGTGAATAGCAAGTTTGATGAAATCATTTCTTCATAAAGCTGTAAATGTCATAGAAGACAGAGCAGCATGTAAACGACTGTGTGATCAAAGGCTCTGTGGGACGCGCTCACCAGGGGAGCAGGGAAAATTTATGGACCGAATTCTTTTTCTGAAGCCGGTTTCCTTCGAGTGTCCAACTTAACGACTGTTTAAATTATATCTGCAATTTTCCGAGGGGTTCGCTTACTTTTCAAGTTTGTAAACCTCCACATCAACAATTCTCAGTCAATGGGAGACCATCTCTCCTGAGAGCTATCAAGAGACCTTGTATCTTAAAGGTAATAAAAAGGATGGCTACACATGCCTCTGCTTCTCATAACACAGAAGTACCACATCTGGTCATTAAAAAAGTGCACTCTACAGAGTTGTATGGATGCCAGATTCTTATTACAGAGAGCTGTTTTATCCATTTAGCCCAATTTCCCAGATGTTTTATTACTTGGAGACAGGAGAATTGTTGAAACTGGTGATTGAAGCCCATTTACGTTAAGGGGGGCTCGTCTGTGAGCTATAGGAAGCATTTGGGGGACAAGTAATTTACAACAGGCCACAAGGCAATGCTTGAGGATGGCTGCCATCTCGCTGGGTCACAAATAATCCCAACAAAGGACAAAACACCCTATTTAGTAACTCCCAGCTTCATCTGCAGAAATTGCCTCTTAGATGAGCACTTGGCTGTCATTTTACATGCAAATGTGTATATGTATAATTGGAGCAATTTTCATAACAGTAGGTCAAGCTGGCAGTGACATTGAAAATGGCCGGCAACTAGGACTGGAGGCTGGAGTCTCATTGTCTGCAAATTGGTGACATTTTCCTTTGCAGAAGCCCTCGCCTCATAAAGACAACAGGTGCCTCTTCCCAGCCCCTGCCCCCACTTGGTGCCCCCACTCCTCCACTTCCATTCCAGCGCTCACAGCCCTAATGGGCCTGCCTGCTCTGCAGAGTGGCAGCCCCAGGGGCATTAGCAGAGCTGGCCTGGCAGCCACAGCCAGCCCTTGCTGCTAATTGGAAGGCACCTCACTGAGGTCCATTTGCCGTACCCGTCAATCAGCCTACTCTGAGCAGGAGTGAGGGATTGAGGGCAGAATGGAACCCTCCCACTCAGCTTCTCTGGTGTTAACAGCCCTGCCTCTGCTCCACGCACATAGATAGGAAAAGCTCTTGGACCTGTGGCAATGTGCTCTTAGACTAAAGGGGCTACGTGCTGCCCCCTCCTCCATGCCAGCAAGTAATGCAGTGGGCTTAGCAATGCAATTTTTTGCTTGTTTTGTCGTTGTGACTGATGGCGGCCTCTGGCATGAGAGCCAGTGGCATCTACACACATTCTTCCTCCACAGCCTTGCTACCAGCTCTCAGAAGGGAGGCCAAGACCGCATATTCTATCAAATGTGCCACAGTTTGCTAACAAAGAGTTTTGAACATGGTACAATCAACTCTTTGGAATTCAGGGAAGGACCCCTATCTCAGGCATTCCAACAGTCTGAGGAGCACTCCCCAAGGGGACAGTATTCTGACTCAGGGTCAGGCCACTGACGGCTCTAGGAAATGGGAAAAGACAGGGTCAAGCGAATGTCTAGAAGCCACGTGCATTTCCAAAGGCTGAGCTGGCTGTTCCCACAGGCGGCCTTTCCAGCCGGCCAGGTTCCAGCCTCCATTTCCCCTCCCCTCCCCAGTCATTCCTTGCTTAGTTAATGAATCAGTTGCTAGATTTCAAAAGCAATATTCAAATTATGTTTCTGGAGTGTATTCTTGATTAGGGCACTTCAGATGCTCGTAATCACCCCAGAGCGTGGATTCCTCCTGATTAGAGTGCTGAACCAAGGCCTCCCTCCACTCCATCACACTTTAAAATGGATTATATTAACATAAATTATCACTGTGTTTAGACAGTAATCACCAACCATAAGGGGCAAGATTGGGAGGGACCAAAGATTCCAGGGGACAGGCAGCCTAACCTACTGCAGGGACGAACCTGGCTCCTGGATACTCAAATGTCTAACGCCTTGGTAGTGATCCATTTGGAGGCTGGATTACCTGACGGGAGCTGAGGACGGTCACCTAGGGAGCTCCTAAGGAAAACCTTACCCACACACGCCTTTTCCAGGGCCAGCGTTTTGTCTCTTTGTCCAGCACTCCGTCCGTCCATTGAGTCGATTCTTCTCCCTACTTCCAGCTCCTCACTGTTTTCTTGTACCTCGTTACGCATATTTCTTCAAAATGGGGGTCCTTTGGGGTTCAGGCTGCAGAGGCAAAACCTGCCTGTTGTATACGTTGGGGGAGGAAGTATAGTATGATGTGTGTGTGTGTGTGTGTGTGTGTGTGTGCGCGTGCGTGCGTGCGCGTGCTTGTGTGTAGGTGCATGTATGTCTATCTCTGTGTGTCTGTCTATCTGTGAGTCTATCTGTGAGTGTCTATCTGTGAGTGTCTGTGTGTGTCTATGTGTCTGTCTGGGTGTTAGCACACATGTGCTCATGAAAGCTGAAGATGAATCTCAGACATGTTTCCCCCGGAGCCATCCATCCACCTTGATTTTTGGAACAGGGTCTCTAGTGGCCTGGAGCTCAGGTTCTGCTGGCTGGCCAGCGATCCCCAGGGACCGGCGCCTGTTCCTTCCCAGCACTGAATTTATAAGAACAGGTCATCACACCTGTCTTTTTCGTGGATTCAGGTCCTAATACCTGCAACACAAGTGCTTTACCCACCGAGTTATCGCCTCAACCCGTAGCTGCCTATTTGTTTGCCAAGGAACCATTCCGAGGGGAAGCTTGGTTGGGTGGGAAGTAGATGGCCTAGGGTAGTCAAATCCTGACTCTCATGCTGCCTGACCACACCTGAGCCTCAGTTTCCTCAACTGTCAAATGAGACTGGCCTTACCTACCTTGCAGTCCAGGGGCTGTGGGACTGCTCCTGTTAATAATATTACAAGGCTATTAAACCGCTGGCTTCTCATAGCCCCAGGACTCCCTCCTGTGGGAAGCGGGGTGGGGGGGGGTGGCAGGATCGGGGGGAGGGAAATGGGGGGGAGTTAGATAGCATGAGGAAGCATCATGCCTTTAGTGACCCTATTTGGTCTTTTTTTTTTTTGCCCAGAGAGTTCGTTTTTATTTTGGTTGCTTTTCTAACATGCAGCAGTTGCACAGGTTTTTTTTTTTAACTATTGATTTCTTTCCCCCATTTTGAATATTATGAAAATCCAAGCTAAGGAGACAGCCCTCCTTCTCCCACTGACTTGATAAATGTTTGTTCGTCATTCCTACTGGGTCTTTTTTTTTTTTTTTTAACTTACCTCATCAATAAATCTGGAATTAATTTTGGAGGAGGCTGAGATAATTATCTAAATTGATTTTTTTCCAAGGAGCTCATCAATTGTTGCTATGCCATTTATTGGCAAGCCTTCTCTTCCCCGGTCCGCGGTGCCTCCTCTGGCATACATTAATTCTTACGTCTGGCAGGTCTGTATTGAGGTTGTCAATCCGATGTTGTCAGTCTCTTTGTCTCATCTCAGATCTGCCTCGCGATCACTGTCCTACTGATGTAAGAGCTGAGAATGAGACTGCCAAGAAGCCTGAAGGAAGAGATGGGGGCCAGGCAGGTAGTGTGGTCTGAGCATGCGCAGGACAAAGGGGGCCCGTTCCAGGCATTGTGCTAGCATGAACGGTGAGCAGCTCAGTTTGCCTGGACGCTGGAGACGTGGACTCAAGGGAGTATGGGAAAGAATGAGAAGATGGTAGAGGACGTAGCACATGGAGGCCAGGGGTCTAACGAGAACTCAAGCGTGCAGTGCCAGGAGGAATGGGAAGCTGTAAGACACAGTTCCACTGACTCAGGGGCTGAGCTGTATAGCAGTCCCTTCTTAGCCACAATTTCACTTCCAGTGGTTTTGGTTTCTCATGATCAACTGGCACCTGAAAATACAAACTAGAATATTCCAGAAATAAACAACTTAGGCATTTTAGATAACTTTTATTATAAGGTATCATTCTGATCATTCTAGTTTATCCTTGTTATTGTCATTTTTACTATAATTTATAGATCAAAATTTTTCATATGTTAGTACATTACGCATATATATACATATATATGTATATGTGTGCACGCATATATGTATATGTATTTATGTGTGTATATATACATACGTATGTATATATATATATATTCATAGGTAAAATTCACATTAAAAAGCAGTACAGATAGGGTCCAGGGACCTATGTATCAGCAGTTTCTAGCACCCACTGCAGTCTTGGGCTGCTTCCTCTGTGGATAGGGAAGACACTCTACATGGAGACCCTGCTGGTAGATAGTAACTATAACGGAACATCTCACTGAAAACAGCAGCACTCGTGAAGTGATCTGGGTCTGTGGAAAGTGTCTCCTCGGCATCTTACCCAGACGCCACCCACATCTGCCAAACCCATGTGGAAGTGGAGTTCTCCTGTCCCAACAGCCATTTCCCAAATAACCATGCAGAGACAATATTAAATATAAATACTCAGCTAATAGCCCAGGCTTATTACTAACTAGCTCTTACAACTTAAGTTAACCCATTTCTATTAACCTATGTATTGCCAGGTGACTCGTGGCTTTACCTGTCCTCCAGCATGTCTTGCTCCCTCTGTGTCTCCTGGTGATGCCACTGACTCCGCCCTTCTTCCCCAGCATTCTCAGTTTGGTTGTCCCACCTATACTTCCTGCCTGGCTACCAGCCAATCATTTTCACAGTGTATGGGATTATTCCACAGCACCCCTGGGATATCAGCAGCCTTGGAAATGAGACAAATGGCTGATTCGTCAGTCTGAATCAGCTGAAATACTACTCAGCAATAAACCAGAGCATACTGCTGAAACAGGGTACAGTGTGGCTAGATCCCAAGGATGCCCAGTGGAAGAGCCAGACCCCAAAGGAAGACAGGTTGTGTGATTACATCTCTATAAAATTCTAGGAAATGCTGAGGGGGACAGGGAGCAAGAGAAGTGTCTGGATGGGAGGAGAGGTGGGAGCAGTGGGGGCAGAGAACACACAGAATGATGGGAGGTGGGGGTGGAGAAGAGTCTGGCTGGGGAGATGGAAGGCCCAGAGACTACTGCATGTGAGCAAGGGTCTGTGTTCCCTCCAAGGACCCTGCAAAAGGGCAGGCGTGACAGCGTACATCTTATTTTGTTGTTGTTGTTTGCTTTGTTTTTCAAAACAGGGTTTTCTCTGTGTAACAGCCCTGGCTGTCCTGGAACTAGCTCTTATAGACCAGGCTGGCCTCGAACTCACAGAGATCCACCTGCCTCTGCCTCCTGAGTGCTGGGATTAAAGGTGTGTGCCACTACCATCTGGCTAGCATGGACCTTATAAAGCCAGCACTGAGGAGGCAGAAACAGGAGGATCCTGGGGGATTATAAACTGGCCAATCAAGCCAACCGATGAGTTCCACATTCAGTGGGTCCCTGTCTCAAAAACAAAGTGGGGGAATGGGGGTGAAGGGAACATGGGTGATGGCTCACACCTGTAATCCTAAAATTTAGGAAGTAGAGCAAGGTAATCAGGAGTCAAAAAGTCATCCTCAGATACCTAGAGACATTGAGACCACCCTGTCAGAAACAAACCAAAACTAAGATGGAGAACAATTGACCCAACATTGACCTCTGGCCTCCACCTGCGTGCACATATATGTGTCTGCACACCTATGCACATACATGCACACACTACACATACAGTTTTTTTCTTTAAAGAAAAGAATCTGAAAGTGAAATTTGGGCGTGAATATGTCCATTATCTCCTGACTTTGGTGATATTTAAAATGAAGGCACAACATAGAACCCCAAGCTGTCTCTTCCTCACTCCTGCTGGTGCTTTTATGTTAGACCCGTGCCAGGATTCAAACGTGGTATTGTTTTCACAGTCGCCAAAGTGAGCCTGGCAGGGTGACGTCAACTGAGCTTCCACACCTGAAGCGCTTGCTGGCCTGGCTCTGTCTCCCTTCCAAAAAAAGATGCCTTGACCAATGCTAGGAATGTGGTTTCTTGCTCTCCTCGAGGCATCTTGGTGGGAACAGGAAGTAGTGACTTGTCATTGTGAACGCTGCCTGCTTCACACCCTGGGACTTCAGCTGGGGACGTCTGTGTGGTTTGTTCCCACAAGATGCATCTAATACTTGCTGTCAGGTGGTACCCTCTAGCCCCAGCCTCCTCCAGCCCCATGATACAGTGAAAAGTCACAGACATTCAAGATGTGCCTCTTCATTGCCCAATGGCATTTGGCACATGCCCTTTAGTATGTCTGTCTGTCTGACTGTCTTTCCTGCCACTGTGATATATACCCTGATGAAAGCAGGTAAGGGGACATTTGTCTCACACTTGGACAGTACAGTCCATCACTGTGGGGACATCTGTTAGGCCTCAAAGAAACCCAGAACAAGTCTCCCTCAGTGCCTGTGGCTCTGCCCAGCACTTCCCACCCCACCACCTACCCTAAACTTCCCTTCCCCCAGCTTCTGATCCCTATATATAACTCAGCCATTGTTGGCAATGCGCTCTTTTAGCCCCTTGGCTTCTGGCTGGCTCTGCTCCTGAACCTCTCTTGGTCCACTAGCCCTGCCCCCTCTCCTTTCCTCTCTTGATCTCCCTCCTCTCCCAACCCCTCTCATGGCCCAGTCTGCTGGACCCTTCCAGAAGCCTGACTATTCTCTCTCTCATATCTACAATCAAAGCCCCTCAGCCATACCTAGGGGCAGCCATGTCCTCATTTTCCACTCAAAGTCAAGGCAGCAGGCACGTGAAGCATCGGGTCACATTACATCCCTGGGAAGAAGAGAGCAATGGATGCTTCAGCTCGGCTGTCTTTCTATTGTTTATGCAGCCCAGGACCTAAGCTAAGGAGACTCTCCAGGGGGCCTTAGCGCACCAAGTCTGTTAGCCAAGATACTCCCCCAGGTGCTGTCAGAGTCTAACCCAGTCAGACCAACTGTTGACACAAAACCAAAGCCTCTCATCTTAAAGTGAGTAAGAAATGGTTATTGTGGAGCTATTTTGAGTGACCATGGTCCAAATTAAGATGACTCCAAATTCCATGTCCCAGCGTAGAAGCAGTTTTGAGAAGTTTGATAGTTTTAGAGACCAAGAAAGCCACAAATTTAGGAAAGTGGTGTCAGAAAGGCAGGCACAGCAGGATGGGGGAGCTTTTCTATAGGCCCAAGATGCTGTCTGAGATTTTGGGTTGGTGGAGGCCAGTGAACTGCTAAGCCAATAGATTGCCAACAGGTTTTGTGTGTTAGTCATAGGATGTTAATTCTGACACAGAGGTTGCTAGCAAATGGCCAGTCTGGACAGCTGGAACTAGCCCAAGATACGGTGATTAGCTTTTGGACCTGCAATATCCCTGTCTTGCCACAATCCTGAAATATTTTTTGTGTTTATTTGTTTGCTTTTCAAGACAGGATTTTTCTGTGTAGCCCTGACTGTCCTGGAACTCACTCTGTAGACCAGGCTGACTATGAGGTACTCACAGTGAACCACCTGCTTCTGCCTCCCAACTGCTGGGATCAAAGGTGTGCGCCACCACTTCCTGACCGGTCTGAAATTCTGATCAGCCAGTTAGTTCATACAATCCCTCAGAAGCGCGACTGGAGGCTGGCCTATGAGATTCCAGACCCTCTTGGCAGTGTTAATGGACACAGTTGTTTCCTGCTGCTGTGTTTACACCCTGAAAAAGACCAATTTAAGAAGGAATGGGTTTATTTTCAGCTTACACTTCTGTGTTTCGGTTCTTCCTTGAGAGAGGTCAGAGCAGGAACCGAATCAAAATCATAGAGGAACACTGCTCACTGCTCTCTGCCTCTGCCTCTGTCTCCCTCCGTCCCTTCCCCTCTTCTCCCCTCTTCTCTCCCTTCCTCCCTCCCTCCCTCAGTCTCTCTCTGCTAATTTTTATTCAGCCCAGGCCCGCTTGCCCATGAATGATGCCAGCCACAAAGGGGCCTTGGATCTCCCCTTTGATTGGATCTAATCAAGACAATTCCTTACAAACAGGACTGCCGGTCAATCTCAGTTCTTCAGTTGAAGTTCCCTCTTCGAAGGTGATTCTAGGTGTTACAGGCTGGCAATAAAAATTAACCAGGCCAGCGCTCTTGGCCTTGGTTGGAGCAGTTCTGCAACTCCCTGGGTTAATTAGTTGCCTAACTAGCACACTGTCAACAAAAGAGAAGCTGTTTCTCTTCCAAGTTCTTCTGGAGGCTTCCAGGTTTTTTTTCTCTCTCTCTCCCCTCTTCCTGCTTGCCCCCACTCCCAGTGTACTTCAGCCTTTAACTCCCTGCCCGCTAATGAGATGCAAGCCTTCAGTCTCTGCCCCAGATCCAGCCTCATGTTTTGGGGATTCTCTTGCAGCTACACTACCTCTGCTACAATAGATCATGCTGAATGCCTCTGGCAAGGGACAGACTCAAAGATTCCTAACCCTAAGACTGTCACTCTGGCCAAGAATACAGACTTGAACCTCTCTCTAGACCTCTCGTGTAGGCAAGCAGGGCAGAGGGATGTGTTGGAATGACAACTACCCTCTAGTTTTCTTTTCACTCCCTGAACCATGTTCTACCAGAGTCCCTTGCCTGTTGATATCTGCAGTTAAGACTCTTTACAGTTACACATCCGAGTCCCTCTCAGTTCAGCTTCCTCCATAAACTCATATTTAGATCGTGAGGGTGAGAAAGGCGGGGAGGAGGAACATTTTCAGGAGACGTAGGAGGCATGCAGTCACCAACATGACCCAGTCCCCAATCAGGACCTTTTAGTTTCAGAAGCCTTAAAAGTTAGATGTTTTGTTTGGGGACTTGTTTATGTTATTGTATTGCTTACTGGCTGGGGGGAGGGGGAAGAGGCAGGGTTGCATTTTGCAGCATTTCGATCTTGTTCTGCTTTTATCAAATAAATATTCAAGTTATTTATATAAACATGCTTTAGCAATAGATGAAAACCGAGTGTTGGCGACATGAGTGCTACTTTCCACCAGGGGGCGCTGCCGAGCAGATGCAGAAGTGGAAATGGTTTCTGCGTCTAGTTTAACGAAATGGGGAAAGCTTGCCAATCGCCAGTATAGTTTTAACTCTAAATCCTTTCTTTGCTGTGAGGGCGATTGTTCTGTTTAGCACACCGGTGGCTTCATAAGGGCAGACAAGGGCAGACAGGATTCATAAATGTTTCCAGACTGCTTATGACTGTGCCTTGACATGGCTTCCTCACAGGCAGAATGCTAGCACCCACCCACGCCTAGCAAGGATGTCCTTGCTGTGCACCTATCTCAGTTAATTGGTCCACTCAATCGCCCGACCTCGCTGTCTCAACGGCACTTGGAACTACAATTCCCACGCTTCCTTGCTGCTGGGGGGGCTTAGGCCTTCAGTTGCTGTCCTTTCCCTGTGGATCTTGAATTCAGAAGACAGAGACAGGATATTATGTTCAGATTGGAACCAGTATGATGCAGTCCCAGAGTGAACAGCTCCACCAGGAGCTTCCTAGACAAGGGCAGTTATTGAGGAATTTCATCTGAGAATCAATTTCTTCAGCTTTAGAGAAGATTCCATGAGACATTCGATTCCCTACAGTGAATTCATCTCTGAAACAGCTGTAGTGAATTCTGTTTTCTGTAACTAAGCCTTGGGTACTGATAAAGAACAGTAGGTCTGAGTTAGACATTTGACAAAGTTCCTAAATTACACTCTGTCTTTTCCCTCTTTGAAGCCTACAGCTCCCAAACATTGTCTCAATATTGAATTAAAGAAAAACAACTGTTTTGGCATTTGCTAAAATAACAGAGAGACTTTATTTGGGACTATTCCAGGAAGTGTCCCAGTTGCCACACTAGAAGAGAAAGGCTGGCCTGGACTTGAGCCAACCGGATACAGTAAGAGGGCTGGAGACAGAAAATGACCAAGAGATACATCAGTGTTGAGGGACTATTGAGAACCAGCGTAATAGAAGTCTGGCTGAAGCAAACCAAGATGATCAGAAACCACAGATGGGGGAATAAGGAGCGGATTGAATATCAAGGATGAGGGCTCTCTGCTGAGTGAACTCACTGGGATTCCTGGAATCTGACAGAATTCCTATGCAGATCCAGGCAGAATGGGGGTCCCAGTTGAGGTCAAGTCCAGAAGAGATACCAAAGAAGCCTGGTGGGGCTCTGGTAAAGAACAGAGGTTTCCTAAGCACATACATGCCAACTGAGCAGCACAGAGCAGCAGTGGCCTGTCCAGTTATTCTGCTCTCCCCTGCTTTGGTTAGGGTGGAAGGGAGGAGAAACCCCTGTGGATGCAGGTTGACAAGACAGGACATCAAGGACCAAGCACTCGGGAAGGGGATGTGGTAGAGAGAGCAGCGGACACCGAAATCTGCCACACTGAGGAGAGTGCTAAGGAGTCAACATCCTCTGAAGTGTGCTAACCATGGACCTGAAAGGACCTCGTTTGAACTGGACAGAGAGTAGCTTGGCGGCGGTATTTCTGGTGGAGACAGAGGGTTAGCAAGGTCGGGTAAGCAGCAAAAGCCTTGCCAGGCTGATACCTAAAGCCCCACTGCATTCATCCACGTCTCTAGGGAGGAATTCTGGGCACGGTGACTCGAATGAGAAATGTCCCTTGTAAGCTTAAGCTGTTGAACACTTGGTCCCAAGTTGGTGGTGTTTTGAGGAGATATAGGTGCTGTGGCCTTGCTGGAGAAAGCGCGTCCCTGGAGGTATGCTTCGAGGGTTCATAGCCCTGTCCTGCTTCCCCTCACCCTCTCTGCTTTACGCTTTATGTTTGTCATCGTTGGATGACGGTCTCTCAGCTTCCTGCTCTGGACCCTTGCTGACACGGCTTCCTTGCCATTTTTGACTCTTCTCTGAACCATCAGCCTAAAGAAATTCTTCTAGAAGTGGCTTTGGTCATGGCATTGTATCATAGCAACAGAAAAGTCACCAACCCACCAAGGAATGAGAGGACACCACTAGCAGCTAGGAACACAACCAAAGTCTTACTGACCTTTGACCAACATGAGAAAGACACATGTAAAATAGACCCGGAGGCTTGAGTGTCAAGGTTTTGCAACAGGTTGATCACCGCAACACAGTTGTGAAAAGTATTGCTCAGTCAAAGCCACAACAGAGCAGGAAGAGGTACATCTCAACATCGTTATCATTGACACATGGGGTCAGACGAGTCTCTTCTACCGGCCATCTGGTCTAGAGAGGTGGTGGGAGTCACAGAAGAACCACTGAGAATTTTGAGGAGGCCAAGCTGGGACTGCAAGCATGCCTGGGTCTTCACTGTGAGCATGGGGTCACTGGTGACATCTCCCTGTGGAAACTTGAGACTCATGGATACTATGTGACTATCACTGATGCCCCAGGACAAAGAGACTTTACTTAAAACACAACCACAGGCCCATCTAGGGCTAACCATGCTGTCCTGATTGTTGGTGCTGGTGAATCTGAAGCTGGTACCTCCAACAGGGGCAGCCCTGGGAGCATGTCTTGGGCTTCACATTGGGTGTGAAGTAGATAAATGTTGACACTAACAAAATTCATGAGCCGGGCGGTGGTGGCACACGCCTTTAATCCCAGCACTAGGGAGGCAGAGGCAGGCGGATCTCTGTGAGTTTGAGGCCAGCCTGGTCTACAAGAACCAGCTCCAGGACAGGCTCCAAAGCTACAGAGAAACTCTGTCTCAAAACAAAACAAAACAAAACAAAAATTCTTCCCACTGGGTCACCTTATAGCCAGAAGAGATGTAAACAAACACCATTTGCATTTAAAGCAAACAGACAAACAAAAAACTCTGATGTGATAGTATTTGTGCCAATTTCTGTGTCAAAATGCTAGAGTCACTGATGTGCTAATATAGTTTGGGTCAAGGGAACAGAAGTCTATGAAGTAGAACAACATCCCTGCCATCAACTTGTCCAACTGATATAAGCATTCATATCTATATATTGCCTTGGGTGTCTATAAGTTACTGGTATTGGTAATGTCCCTGTGGGTTGACGTTTCTCAAACACATCACGTTCGTCACTTTTGCTGCAGTCCACGTCATGGCTAGGGTGTGTTAAAATGTCCATGAGGCTTTGAGTGAAGTACCTCCTGGGGACAAAGTGAGTTTCAGTGTCAGTGTCAGGAGCAAGTTTGTCAAGGATGTTTACCTTCGCAGCACTGCTGGCGATGGAAAAACGAGCCCTGAGTAGAAGCAATTGGCTACATTACACGTGATTATCCCAAACCATCCCGGCCAAATTATGCTTGCTGTACCCCTGCTCACAGCAAGTTCTCTGAACTGAAAGAAAAATGAATAGCCATTCTGGTAAGACGCTGGAAGGTGGCCCTAAATTCTGGGAATCTGGAGACACTGGGATTGTCAGCATGGTGCCAGGCCAGCCCACACATGTTGAGAGCGTCTCTGACCAGACTGCTGTTTGTGATTTGAGACAGAAGGTTGCTGTCAGAGTCATCAAAGCCATGGACAAGGAAGCTGCGGGCCTCAAGTCCAGTTTGGACAGCTGCTGTTTACCCCTCGGATATAAGTGCCACCGTCACACCTTGAAGGATATCTTGCCAAGCCATAGGCTTCACGTGGCACTTCCAGTGCTGTGAGAGTTTGCCCTCTGGGAGGGGCTTTTGGGTCAGATCCAGCTCTGTTCCTCCACACAGTTTTCAAAGGCGTTACATGAGTAGGCAGACTCTCAGCTTCAACTAAAAGGTGTGGACACACAATCTAATGGATCTTTGGATGCCTCAAAGTTCAATTAGAGAAAGGAGACGGAGAAACCCAGTCTAACGCAGGCATGTCTGTCATTAAAGATGCAACAGTCGATAGGCAGAACTGCCCAGAGGCAAGGGCTTCAGAAAAGGGTGCCCAGAATTTGAATCCTGATCAAGGATCCTCCAACTTTTGTCTGGCTTGGCTTGGGTATCATTACAGACAACTTGGTGCTTCCTATTTCCTCCTTGAGATAGAAGGTTCCTACTGGTTATCCTGTGCCCATTCCATCACTATATTTTGAGCCGGGAGGTCCAAATAACTTGTTTATAGATCACAGACCTTTAGTTTTATATTTACTTATGCACACATACACAATTGTGTTCT